CAAGCTTTTGACAGAATTGGGAGCAGTGAAATCGGTCTGTTGATGTTTGGGATTCATGATCCCCAGTTTTGAGTATCACGGGTGTGACTTCAGCTCTTTTCCAAGTAATCATAACTACAACAAAATTTTCGGATCTGATTGGTTATCAATTGCCCTGATTTCAGCCTAATAGGACAGTTTAATAGGATAGTACGCGACATGCCCAAGTAATTGGACAGTACGCGCCATCACGTGCGCACTTAAGTGGCTTTTTTTTTCATTGCCTGCCAAAAAAATCTTAGAATTTCTTGTGTTTTGATTTTTAAAAAGAGCCTTATATATCACAAAGTTTGTTAAAGTTATGATTAATTGGTAACAGAACTCAGTCGTGTCGTCCAATTCGGTCTATAATCATACTCGTGTTTAAACAAATCGGACGACCGCGTATCACCCGAATGATTTCAGACCGAATTGGACTCCACTCAGTCCAGTTACCATTTATGATAGATGTTAACGGGATAAGATGGGCAGGTAAGCAATCTTTGATCATACGAATTGGAATTTTATCAATCCCGGGGCCTTTACCTCTCGCCATTGACATCATGACTTTTTGTATCTGTTTGTACCCTACTGCGTTCATAGTGAAACGCACTGACAATCCTTCCCATCGTTCCCCGTGCGCTTTTTTCTTCTTCCCAGCCTCACTTTCACACAAAGAGGCCTCTGCGGAGGAGAGAGGCCTGAGACCAAATGGCTTGCGGTTCAGCTTACATGACATCGTTATTAAATTATCAACTATGGCGGACCGAAGCGAGAACATGTCTCAATTTCACGGTAAAAAGCCGTGTCGTGCATGCACTGATTTCAAATCCTGGATGAGACAGGGAAACAAAACGAAAAGTAATCCGGTGAGTCTTCACTTTACAATCGGTTTTTAAAAATAGACCCTTAAACAACTCTGTCTTGTGTTCATGTTGCATCATATTTTTCAGTTTAATTTCTGTCAAGTCATGTGGTGCGCGCAAGTAGAGCGAATGGCCTTATAGATTGTCAATCATTTTGTTTTCCTAAAACCTCGCTAATACAACCAAATGTTCGTAGCCAAACGGTGGGTTTCACCGTATCTTCTTACGCCAAAAAAAAAAAAAAGAAAAAAAGAAAAACTCACGGATGTTCTGGAGAATGGGTAATAACTTTTATGACAGTGAAGGTTGCGATTGATCGTGGTACAATTGACCAGATCATTGCTAGGTCTTTATTGTCCTGGCCTTTAAGTTACTCAGAGTAATTATAAAAGACATTTTGACCAAGCACAGTTTTACGTGTAAATGTTTCCACCATTATTTAGCTATTAATTTAGCTCCATTTTGTTCTTTGATCGCATTAAAAATGAAGATGAACATGGATCTAAAGTTTGGTTAGTTTCTATGTCTTGAACATAATTGTAAGTCATGGGGATTGATTTTTTCAGTACTAAAATGAAGGTGCCAAGAACAAAGACCTATCTACAAAGATTCCAACTTTAATAACTAGAAAAAGGGAGGTTTTTGGAGTGGCATAGACGCGCCAAGGAGCACCAAAGACTCGAGTCTCTAGGGGGGGTCCAGGGGCATGCTTGTCCAGCAAAAATTTTATGATATATGCCTCTAAGATGCCATTTCCCACATTTTGAGATCACAGTCAATGGAAATGCCACCCCAATATTATATTACAGACAAATGGCAAAGAATGGTGCTAAAAAGACTGGTTAAACAAAGAAAACATTATCTTCCTTTGGCTAGGAAGAGTTTCAAAAACTGGGAGAATATTAAGTGAAAATGGGAGGCCGGAAATATTCACTGAAACCAGGAGGTTTCTGGCCAAAAAGGGAGGGCTGGAATTTCTGTTTCTATGGCCCTTTGGACTAAAATAAATAAACGCCAAGTGGACAATTTACTGAAGATCCGGAGAACTAAATGAAGACCCTGTGGTCCAAATGAAGACCTTGTGGTTAACCTGGGATCAGGTGTACAGGTTACCTTGTGGTCTAAATGAAGGACCCGTGTGCGTCTATTACAGGACACAGTTGATAATGAAGAGTCCGCATTAGCAAGGTTGGCTTTCTTTTTGTTGATTTGTCAAGAAATAAGTGTCCGTTGTCTGCATTAATGGGTGTCCCTATTTAAGTGGGTTGAATTAGCTTTCCCAGCGACAAAGAAAACTGTCTGTAATAACAAGGTGTTCGTTTTAAGTGTGTGTTCTTAAAGCAGGGTTTACTACGTCCTACTTTGCAAAAGGTGAGTTGTATTGGCTTTGTTGGGAATATGTTCTTTTATAAATGCAATGAATTGTGTTGAAATGTGGTTTATAATATGGCTTGATCAGCTTTAAATGGCGTTTGGCAGCAGAAAATCCAGGGGAAAGGCTTTTAAATTAATGAAAAAAATAATCTCAACCGAATCAATATCCACACTTTCTGTAGAAGTTAAGAATAGTCACAGCAAATGCAATGTCAGGGGTTTGATTCTTGGAAAAGCTTGTTTTAATTTAATTCCCTTCTTTCATACATTTTCTTATCCTTATTGGCTTCTTTCTCTTTCTTTCATCTTCTGGTCATTGTTTACATATTTCTAGTATGTATGTGAGGCAGTGCTTTTTATATTAAAAGGGAAAACTCTTTACTGATTTCTCTGCAGAGTAATGATAGTAGTACATCATCACAAACCCAGGATAGTACATCACAGGCAGACTCTGTAGTAGAATGCCCTGTGGACATTTTGGAGCTTGGAAGATCAACATGGAACTTTCTTCACACAATGGCTGCATATTATCCTGACAATCCTACACAACAACAGCAATCTGACATGGCCAGTTTTATCAAACTCTTTTCAAAATTTTTTCCTTGTGAAGATTGTGCCACTCATTTACGACAAAGGTGAATATGTTTTATGAACTGTATTGATATGTGGTACTTCAACAGCAAATAAACACTTGCACTGGCTGTGTAGAATTTGTAATTAATTTAAATTTTCAGCAAGTGCTTTTATGTCTCAAAATTAGTCAAATATTCAAACTAAGGTGGTCTGATGTTATTACAATGAAAAAATAAAAAAACAGCTGCATCAAGAATTGAATAAATTAATACCTTCGCAAAATGCAGTTCAAACAGCAAAGTAAGCTTTTGAGAGAAAGATGCTGTATCATATCTTTTTTGCTTCAGGTTACAAACACACCCTCCTGATGCTAGCAGCAGACATAACTTGAGTCAGTGGATGTGTCATATGCACAATGATGTGAACAAAAGACTTGGAAAACCACAGTTTGATTGTTCAAAAGTTGATGAACGATGGCTGGATGGTTGGAATGATGGATCATGTGGTTAATAATTGTATTTAGAAAAATTATAATTGTGGTCAGTACACTACACATAAGACGTTTATGAGAACCGAGGAAGTGAACTTGGGTAACCAAGAAATAGCCACAGTTTATGGTGCCAAATAATCCCACATTACATCAGAAACTGACGTGGTGATAGTATTTATTACTAACAAACAAGAGCTGGTTCCTGGACCTTATGACTGACCTGACCTGTGCAGAACAGGTTTGAAAAAACATTCTTAATTGAAATAAGAAACTAACCTTTTCACTTATAGTGAATCTTATTAATATTTAATACAATAAACAAAGAATTACAGATACATGTCAGAGAACGAAAGAGTATGCTGGGGAGAATTACACAAAGACACACTGACAGAGAAGAAAGAGAAATACTAACACTTCATTTCACTTTCCCCATTCTCAATGGAAGAATAGTTAGTGCCTTAATCAGTTTTCTCTCCAGCCTCATACTTCTTTCCATAGAATAGCAGTTCTCAAAGCAAACGCCACCTCTTAAACAAGGTTGTTTACTGTGAGTGCTCAAAAGACATGTGAATGGAATGAAAAGCCAAACCATTTTGCAACATTTTAGTTTTTGGTTTCATTTAGCGTTAGTTATATAGGAGAAAAAAAAACATTCCATTGCTTTCTTTTTTGCCATTACTTTCAGTTGCGTATGATTACTTTTTTCTCTGTGTCTTTGTTTTTATTATTAAACTCCTTAGATATATATATATACAAAGGTACTAAAAATGAAAAGGATACAAGTTAATGGATACTCGGAGTTTCACCCACTAAGTGATCATCAGACTAAAAATTCTGAAAACAGATTTTCGTTTTTAAGTTGGAAAATTGAGTTTCTACGTAGCTCGAAAGGTCCACACCGCGTATATGTTTCTTGCAAGCCTCAAAGCATTCAAGAATCATATACGCGGAGTGGACCTAAGAGTCATGTAGATAATAATAGTAACTGCTGTGACGTGTGTAAATTTTGAATCCTGTACATTTGTATGTAGTTTTAGGTTTTAGGTAAGATCATTAATTTAAAAATCATGTAATAGATTAGTGTGCCAATAGGTAGGAAAGTGGCTCCAATTAACTAACTGTTAAGCTAAATACATTGACACTAAAAATATTATTATTATACTACTACATGAGAATTTCTGTAATTTGATTGGCCTAGAGCAGTGGTATATCTGCTGAATTTGAAATACCTACATGTGAAAATTACAAACCTTTTGCGGGTAGTAGTATAAACAAATAATAGCATGATTTGTACATGATATTTGGCGTAAATACCACTCGTGATATTTCAAAATTGTCTAATTTACGTATACGTATTTACGTATATTTTGAAATATCACTCGTGGCATTTATGCCAAATATCATTACAAATCATGCTGTTACCTATACTTGTTATTATTATTACTATTTCTATTATTATTATTATGGACAGTTGGAGCAGCGCGTTCTGTGATTGGTTGCAAAGAACTTGTTCTTGTGACGACACTTGGTTACCAGCTCAGATCGTTTATTTAGGAGAGTATCGCGGGCATTCAAGATACAGAGTTTCTCAGAAAGGCAAAAATTTGCATAGCCTGTGTACAGACGTCCCCCCTCCCCCTCCGATTTTTTTCTGAGGGAGGGGGACGTCTGTACGCAGGCTAAAATTTGCAGAGTGACGGTTTTCCCTTGTAGGTGTTTGCCCTCTTGATGATAAGCCACTCGATGTCGTATGTCGTGTCGTTGTCCTTTAGTTCCCAGATGTATTTTGAAAGTACTGTGTCATGTGAGTGGTTTCGGTTCCTAAAAGAGAGTTTATGGTTGTTGAATCTTGTTTTGAAGTCATTCTCCGTCATGCCGATGTAGTTACTTGTAGTTCCGGATGCTGTCCCTGTGGCTTCGTAGATTACGTTATTTTTGAGACATTTTCCATCAAGAGAGCAAAGATCCTTGTTTCTGCAATTACATGTCTTTCTGTTGTTGGTCGTTTTGGCAGTCATTTAACCCATTCGCCCCTGAACCGCCCGTAACCGCCCGTGCGGATCCAGGTCCTTTCTACCCTCTGTGACGTCATCAGTTTTAACGGTCAAGGACAACTTTCTTCGCTAACTTGTGCAGAGTGAAGAGATCTTTCAAACCATACCAGAATGAGCAAAATTCAGTCAAGGACACCGGAGAAAGAAGCAAAAAACCACGTGACATGGACCTGAAAATCTTCATGAAAATCTTGTTCCATTGCCCACCTACCTTTCCTTTCACCTAATCCTAAGATCCTAAAAGCTTTCCTAAAAAATATTCCTACCAAAATGAAGCCTACTAAATGCCCAGCAAGAGAAGAAAAAAATGAGGCAAGAAAAGCGAAAAAAGAAGGGAGGAGAGAAAGCGAAAAGTAAAAGTCAAGACTGCTCGACTGCTCGACTGCTCGAAATTTTGCTTTCTGCGCATGCCCGAACTTCGCAAGCTGATATTTTGCATCTGGATCAGAAGGCCGCGAAGTGTACGACCTGTAAACCGGTTTGTGGTAAGTTTTAGCTCTTTATAGCACGACAGTGACCAGAAAACCACTCGACAAGCTTCAAAACGCTTTTTTCGGCAAAATCTCTAGGAGCGAATGGGTTAAGCAAAATACCAAGCTTTTTGAAAAAGAATCCACTTTTCAGCATAAAACAACCAAATCTGTCTATTTCATGTAAAATCAGGTGAAAAAGTTGGTAAAAGGCCATTTTTAGGTTTTTTGATTAATATCTTCCTGTCGTGGTTTTTGATTATGTTGGATATGTTAGTTGTGCAGCTGTAGCTTACTTTAAGGTTGTTTCTTTTGAAGATCTTGTGCAGTTTGTGTGATTTTTGGAAATGTTTCGAAATGTTTATCAATCAAGCGAAGGAAGGACTTTGCAACATTTGTTTGCACATTCTGGCTAAAAGGTGGATTAAATGTTTCGTTATCTGGCTCGATCCTTCTTTTCCGCTCGGGTTTGCCCGTTTTCCTCATACTGGATTGTTTCATCGTAACTGGGATCTAAGGGCATCATTGTCGGGTATAACTGTGACGATTTATAAAATTCCACGGAGTCGCTACCCTGGGTACCAGAGTTTTTTCTCGCGTGCGACGGGGACATTCGTTTCGTCGGCCGCAAGCCGACACGTGTTCGGCCAAAGGCCGAAGACACGAACGGCGAAGCCGCGAGAAAAAATTCTGGATGATTTGGTATAAGCGGGGTTGTAATTGGCTCGGCGCTATCAGAGGGTATGGCGCTCTGGCCCAGAGGCTTTTCGCGCGGGTCAGTTTTTAAGACTTGACCGCAACCGGAAACCGCGCATGAAAAGCCTCTGGCACCTAGGGTACGGAGTCGCAAGAGAGTGATGATATTCTCGTGCTAATGGAGGCTGGAATTTGCCTAATGATACAGGGTGGATGGTTGGCGGACTTCGCGTTGATGTACAATAGATTGTTCACCGCTGGCTTTCTGAAAGGATAGTATTTTCCGGTTGTGAGGTTGAGTGCGACATCTAGCTAGTTGAAAATTTTCATGTTGCCTTGCACAGTGATGTTTAGGCCGAGGTCTCCAAGAATCTTAGGCAGCGTTCAGACTTGGTGCCCGGGCACGGTGCTCGAGCACGGTACCCGCTGGGCACTAGTGTGAACACACCCTTTTTTCAAGTACCCACGCTAAACTTCGGGCACGGTGCCTTTGCCTGAGTACAAGGTCTCGACCTTGTTCTTGGGCACAAAAGTGGGCACCGGCTCCCTGTGTGCACACAATATTTGTAAGTTCTGGGCAGTCTACTGCTTTGTTCTCGCTGCTAAGCTAGCCTGTACACAGACGTTGTGTTTTTTTCTTTTCGTTCTTTTCGAAAACATCGGCACAAATCCCCTGCGGTTTATATTTTATCACGTGCGCTCGACGGACTTTGAAGAGGGTCTGTGAACAGGCTACTGCTAAGCTCATGTTTCAAAATGGCGTCTGACAGGGCGAAAAGGAGTAGCTATGTACTCAAAGTGTGAACACAACGCCATTTTGTGCCAGTGCCCAGGCACTGGTTCCCGAGCACCAAGTGTGGACAGCCCCAAATTACAGAAAACCTTTCGGGCTTTATCAGCTGATCTTGCGTTTATGTTCTTCAAAACGGCAAGTCCGTCATCCCTGTACAGGCCAATGCCGTCATTTGGGAATTCTGATGAGAGTTTGCTCAGGGTAAAAAGCCCAGCCAATTCGCAAACCTCCGCTCTATCATAGCAACCCACTGGGACATTGAACATGAGGGAGTGACATCTTTTGATCCAGGTTTCATTCTCATCAAACAAAAGTGTTTTCCTCGAGTGCGTATTGATTTCAACGTCTTCGTCTGAGACGGTTGTAAATTGCATAGCATATGGTAGGAATGCATGCTTCTTTTCTCTGATGTTTGAAAACCAATCGATTACTGACTTTGTATTCCTCCAATGATTAGAATTGGTTTTAGACCGGATGTTGTTATTGATCCTGTCCAGTACTTGCTTGCTAAGTAACCCAAGGTTGTTCTTCGCAGGGTTGATCAATCTACATTTTGGGTTGTTTTTAAAGTTTTCTTTGTGGTTCTTGAGGGAGATAAATGCTCGACTCTGTGCCATTTTTTCGACTCTGTCATTTACGCGGAGCTTGGCTGTGATTTGGTTTAGCTCAAGGCTGATGTTATCCTTGGTTTGATCGTCTGCTTTCCATGATTTTCAAATTTCCAACTTAAAACCAAAGTCTGTTTTCAGAATTTTTAGCCTGATGATCGCTTAGTGCGTGAGACTCCGAGTTATAACTCCATTAACTTCTATCCTTTTCATTTGTATTTCGCTCTGCATATTCATGTTATTGCTTTTCAAATAAATATTCAAAAGAATTGTTTGATTACGGTGTGGGTATTCACAGACGAAAGGAAGACTTTTCGAAAAAAAAAAAAAAGATGTAACGCACCTTTTGAGATACATAAAGGAACGTCAAAGATGATTACAACCGTTAAAAAATAAATTTCGGATCAGTTTGGAAAGCTTGTCGTAACTATAATTTCCGTTATTTCTAGCAAGAACTGAGGGAAATCACTTTTGAAGTTGCTACTTTCGGAGGGTCGCTACTTTTGGCATTTGCTAAGAGCTGTTAAATTTTATCGTTACTTTTGGGGGTCGTTGCTTTAGGAACTTTACGGTAGAATTTAGAATGGAAGCGGCTGTTGCCGGTTCTTTGTGACCAAATAACAAAATAAACATAACTGCCACCATGAAAGCAACAAACCTGCTTTATTCAAACTATAAAAATGACTTAAATAGTTTAGAATCACCTGGAGTGAACTCTCTGAGAGCTTTCAATAAATTAAACGTTCAAAAAAATAAATAATATAAAACAGACGTTTTTTACAGAAGTTCTTCAGTTTTTACAACAAGAGATTGTCATGAGCCAACTGTACAGGGCAACCAACTTCTTTCAATGTTCAAAACAAACAATACTATTTCACTTGAATCTGGTTGGAGGAACGACTAAAGAGGCCACTCTTCTTTTGGGTTGGTGTACCTTTAATTGTGACTGTCACGCTTTCAGGCTGCAACAGACAAAGAGAGATCATCTAAATCATGTTTACTCTTTCATCTCTTGCATATGATTAAATGAACACTAGCGAGGAGCACGAGGCAGACAAGTATCTTGTTAATTTGTTTTATTTCTCCGACTGGTTTTGTCACTGATCACACAGACTTCATCAGAGACTATAACAAGATAGAGCTAAGGAACTAACTTTAGAGCTAATCACGTTCCTGTTAGGGCGTGCACAGCAAAAAAGCACCCACAAAATATGACTATAATCCTGCGTTACACAATGTGCAATGTTTAATTTTGGGGGTCACAGATTTAAAATAAATTTGTTCCTCAACTGATTTTTTTTGTAGGAGCGAAACTTTAAGTGGCTTAAAACGTACTTACCTTGAGTATACTCAAAGAACACATCAGGTTTTTACTGACAACTAGGACACCACCAGCATTATCAAACTCGCCACAGTAATTTGGAGCACTAAACAATGTCACCAACTGGAAAACAAAGTATTCAGTAGGAAAAATGAATCAGAGATACTTACAAAAGTCATACCTGTATATATCCTTGAAGGTTAACGTTGTAAATTGTTTAATAAACTATAGAACTGCACCTTTTGTGGTTTACACGCGTTTGTAAATCCAAGTCACATGATTTTGACTTTCATTGCACACTTAAAAAAAAGTTACACTGAAAGCAGATGTCATTTCTGTCTTCTCCCTCTGTGTCAGTGGGTATTAAATTGCTCAGAAACAGTCTATAAAAGTGCAAACTAAAGAAAAATACTGAATTTCAATAAATTCTTCAATGATCAATAAAACTGATAAAAAGTTGGATGAGTTTGATCGTCCGGGTGAACGTAGTCCTGAATAGGACTGTTGTTGTTGACAGTGACTGACTTTTCGACAACCTGTGCGGTAGTCATCTTCAAAGTCAAAGTGAGTTGTATCACGTCAGTAGATGGTATTATACTCTGGTTATTGACCATGACCATTGACCATGCAATTTTGTTACGTAAACTTGCAAACTATGGACTTGATCTGGGTTCCCTACGATTCTTTGCCTCCTACCTAGGTAACAGGAGCCAGAAATGTTATGTTAATGGCGTATTGTCCAGTGCAAGCGAACTAAGATGCGGAGTCCCACAGGGTAGTATTCTCGGTCCTTTGTTCCTCTTAATCTATATAAACGATCTTCCAAACTGCCTTAATACAGCATGCGCTAAAATGTTCGCAGATGATACAACTATTACCATTTCTGGTTCCTCTCTAGCTGACCTTGAACAAGAGACTAACTTAGAACTACTGAAACCTCACTGTTGGCTAAAAGCTTAGTCTTAATGTTGCGAAAACCGAGTTTATGGTTATTGGCTCTCGCCAGAAGCTTCTTGCGGAAAGCCATAACGAAATAAACATCAAACTAGAAGACCAAGTTATCAGCAATGTTGATC